AAGTGTGAGCTTTCCATATTGGCTTAGGCGGTGCTTGAAACCCTTCATTCAAGCTCGTGCATTCTGAGATGAGGTAGGACAGGGTGTGCAGGAATCACGACTTTGTGCTTATCCGCCAAAATTTTGGAGTGGAAGTGGCCGGAAGGGGGCGTAGGGAGCGAATGAGCTTGAAAGCTTCCATTGTCGCAAAGAGCCATGCAATTTCCGCAGAAACTTGGGCAGGGAATTCAGCATGGCACCATGGTACTGCCTTGAACGTTTGCGCTACGAAAGGAGCCAGAATACTTTTTTAAAGTAAGGCAACCCCACACAGTCAGAGCCATGTTCTCAGCAAGGGGATCCCTTAAAGCCATCGGCTGTGGAGGAGAGGATGCGTCAGAAGCGAATCCGGGATGCTCGAGCGCATGAAGAGGCACAGACGGGTGTCATCGTTTCCTTAAAATTTGGGTTCAGGACATAGGCCTTAAGGTTTAGGATTTCGGCTTTGGAGTGCATGGTAAGTTTTGGAAATGAGGGTCTTTCAGACTCCTACAATTGTGTTAGGGACTGTCTAGAGGATGTTTTCAAGGACATTTTGTTTCCGGGTTGCCCGTTTAATACGGCACTGCATCTGGTACTTTGGGGTAAAGCCACGCAGCTGCCCGCAAGGGGTTGAGGTAGGGGGGGTAATTAAGGGAGGCTTGCAACCACCAGTTTGAGGCCGCAGGATACCGCCAAATTGACAGACGTAACCGTTACATTTCTATTTTGATAGTTTTCGGGAGGTGAAAACCCTCTTTAAGGACCAAGCCAAACATGAAACGGCCCCAAACAGTTGCGTACCCTTGATTTCTCAGCTGTAGAGGATTTTGTTTCTGATCTTATTCAGCTGATGTAGCCCCTGCATTTCTGAACCAGTCATTTCTTGTGCAGGGGTTGCACTGTAAGCACTCCTCCCCTCCGCATAATGGAATCTAGAAAAACAGACGCCTTCGAATGTTGAGTACGAGTTGGGGGTTTTCCAGAACCCGCTACTCGCTGCTACTCAGGTATTTGGCCAATCATGACTGACCTGGTTCTGGAAGCACACTACCTCCTCTCTACGGTTCTGTGGTCCCTTACTCGGGCTGCCTTAAGCGAACAAATCCTAGTATGAACGGTTCCGAGCTTCAGCCCTAAACCCAGAAAAGGACAAAGGAGCAAAAAGCAACATCCTAGAGCGTCAGATCCAGGCTTAGATCTCTGAGCCACAAAGCCTAAATCAGCGTTCAGCAAAGAATCTTCAAGGCTAGTCCAAGTTTTTGCAGCCTTGCTTTGCCGTCCAGAGGAGTGCTCCGCCGTCAAAATCCAGTACATTATCCGCAGCTTCTTGAGGAAGGGCATAGGAAATCAGGGTTTGGATGGCTCAAGGGCTGTACGGGTTCAGAGACACAGGGAGGTTGGGGGTAGTTAGGGGTCAGGGAGGTTGCGTGATTCGTGTTCCGGCGGGGTTTTGGTTGCCGGTTTGGGTTCGGGGCTTTGTTGGACCAAGCCTGAGCCTCTTTGTTAGGGACAGAGTCAGGCTGATAAGTTCATCCTTCGCAATCTAAGACAGTTTCGGTTTTAGTTCCTTGTAGTCAGATGAAGCCCAACGTGCCCCTCGAAAGTCCTCTGACAGGGACAGTGCTAGGAGCTGCTAGGACGCTATATGTCTTCCAACTGCACTTCCCGTCCGTACAGCGATCGCACCGTGAAACCCCTCTATGGGTTCAATTCCGCTGGGCTCTCCCATGTTCCGGTTCTGCCTTACTTGGGTGGTGATGTTGTTTCGAAATGATCATGCTTGTTAGGCAACTAATTGTGCGACCTGGACCGGCTCCCTCTGTTGGACCCTGCTTGAGCGGACATAGAGGAGTAAGATGCTTCTTGAGAATTCTCACCATGCGTCTGAAGCTGTGTTGAAAGGACTGGCGGTCTCTCCCTCAAGCTGACAACACACAAAGTAGAGGTTTCGTGGTTCAGCATGTTTTGGCGGTCCACATTGAAGCAGCCAGGAGACGCGAGCAGCTCAAGAAACCCAGCAGCCTGAAGTTAGTACGGTTTGGAGGGTAGGAGTTCAAAACCTAAGACCGCACCCTGAAGTCTACACCTTAGGCCATCAGAACCCAGGGCTGGAGCAAGGGTTTTAGTCTTCGGGTTTGCATTCAGGCCTGGTCAGGGTGAAGTGATTCAAGTGCACAGTATGCTCAATCAATTGTTCTGGATCTTATCCGGCTTCTGACTTCACAGTCCGGAGTCTCAAGATCATTGATCGCTGCATGTACTGGCCTTGGGTCGACATCTTTGAGTGAACAAGAGCAGGTGTTGCCAGCTAGTCAGAACCGTGTCAGCAAGAGCGCCGTAGTTCACTTTCCCTGGTTAACGGAACCATTTTACGGAGGGAGAGACAATATCAACCTTGAGATCCTTGAGCGAAAAGTGTCCAAGGAGAGCCAAGGAACACAGCAATACAGTTTCTTCATCTTCGCCGCTAAAGTAGGGATCCCGGTGACGAAGATCTATAATAGCTTTGGCGTTCTGTCCCCTGCTGCTCCCCCTTCCCAACGATATCTGCAGCGCACCAGCTAACATAGACCTCCCAGAAGAGTCCGCAATCACAGTGATGGCGCATGTTTGGGTCGCCATTCTCGTAGACGTCCTTGTTTTGCAAGCGTCAGATCCACAATCCACGTCAATTTTGTTGTTCTAGCAGATTCTAGCACAGCTTGTAGTACCACCATGACTGGAATTACCCAATTAACGGCGGTACTAGTCACTCAGGAGCTGTGCAGCAACAAGGTTCCTAATGCCGAGTTGTCAGTATTCGTGGTTACTTCAAGCCAGTTCCTCCGCCACCTCGCACAGCAATATAGGGGAAAGAGGGGAGCACCCAAAGCCTTTCAAGCTTTGATATTAATCATTGTGCCCAGTCGTTGTCCACTGTTGTCATCCTACCAATGCGATTCTAGCAAAACTGAGTTTAACCTCACCTGCAGCTGCAGCGCTCGGTCAGAAGGGAATACTGTAAAATGCCTCCAGCTCATACAACCCAACATCATCATGGGCTTCTCGTGTCGCTATGTTTTCAGAACAAGTCGGCAGCTTCGAGGGACACAGGTTTGAGACTTTACACTGTGTCGAATGCCAACGTGAACTCCTGCAGCCTCGTCTGGGAGATAGGACCCCTTAACTGCCTTCAATACTGCACTCAGATTTGACTCCAAGTTCCACATGGTACCTAGTTTGATATTGTTGGAGAGGGCCTGAAACAACATGCTCATTGCTGCCTGTCCGCTAGTTGGACCTGGGGAATCCCACTTGCGAGAAGAAGCTGCGCAGGATAGTGAACACGCAGTATGACATAGCTAAATAACCAGTCAAGAAGCAATTCAAAGGACCTGCAGCATTTTCGCGGACGGTCTAAAGTTAGATTTCCAAAAGCCCTGCTATCCCCTAATGGTACTGATACTTCCACTTTTGCGAAATCTGTCCTTGCCAAGGACCCGTGCCGTCATGCGGATCCAGCGCTTCTTCCGCAGATTTGCTGCCATCAGAGCAGCGGCTGAAATCAGGCGTGCTGTGAGGGTAAATTGGCTTCTGCGGACTCTATGGCGATATGCGATTGCATATGAGGGCTGTTCGAAAAGTTTCTTTCAGGATAGACAACCGAGAAGAAGCTCTTCTTCATTTCCTGTGCTGAAGTCTCCAACAGGCACAGTCCCACTCGTGAGTGGCATCAAGCTGTGGAACTTCCAACCTTCACGCTACAGTGCTTCACGTAGGAAGATACTGGAACTGTTAAGGACTTCACAAGATTTATTTCCCATCATGAAGACAGGGCTTCTCCGGGCTTGCATGAGGAATTCTATCTACTGCTGGAACACACGCCAAGATCCAACACCCCGCCCAAACACCCAATGCTCATGGGGCTACACCACGAAAGTAACGGCTGCCATGCCCTTAAGCGTAAATATTAAGATTAAGACCCCAAACCGAAATCCAAACTCCAGCGTTGCAACGCTAAACCCTTGCATCCTCACACTCACGAAAGCATGCATGTCATTATAGCTTGCATGCACTTGGAACCTGAACGTTGCTGTAGTTTGGGCATGGGTGAGCTGGTGATCGCAGTCACTAGATGACCAACGAAAAAAGGAAATTTGGCTTGGGCATGGACACTCTGACAATCGCACGCACTTTGGAACACACATGTGATCATGGTCTGCGCATGGTGCAGACATGCTCAGCCAGGATCGCATGCACTAAGTGATGAATGATACTATAGCTTGGGCACGGATGCTCTGGTGTTCGCATGCAATTGGAACATGAGCAGTACTGTTGGTAATTAGCACTATGGTTTGGGCATGGATGCGCCACTCACTAGACGATGAACGTTTCTATGCTTTAGGCATAGATGCTCAGCGGCTTGCATGCACTTAGAGCTCAAACGTTATTGGTCAAGGACCTGGGCGGGGCAAATGGAGGCGATGAACGCTAGTTACAAAATGCTTCCCTGGGCTTTCGTCTGAGCCCAGCTTTGCTGATCCGTACTAAGAATGTGTCGTGATACGGAGGCTGTTTGGGACGCCAGACGGCAGCTTTGTAGGCATGCCGGCTGTCGCTCTTGGGCGCACAGAGGCCGTGTCTTGCCGTTTCATCTCCGAATAAGGGGTGTGTGCGGTTCCGCTTGATTGGCTCAGACGTGGCCTTTGCCTCGGTGGCGCATGTCACGGCACAAGAACTGACCGAATGCGATTCGAGGCTTGCAGCTAGTGCGTGGCGGGCTCGCGACAAAAGGTTTCTGGTGTACAGGCGTGTCGTAGATGGGACTTGTGAAATACCGTCACGCTCCAGGTTCTGGGCTTCTTTGTCCTGTTCAGGGGTGCAACCTCATCCATGTCGGGTCAAGAGGGAGCTCCAGTGTGCAGGCATGTGAGAACCCACTGGCAGCAATTTCGCCTTAGACGTGCGAGGTACATTGACCCGTTGCATTCCTGATCGCCATGGCACCGAAGTTTGCGGGCAAGCGTGGCGCTGAGCCGCTGGCTACTTCTCCAAAGGCACCATCGCCCACGCTGGCTCGCAAGGCAGAGCTGACGGCTGAGCTTTGGTTTGAATTTGTTCCCTTCGGCAAGAACGCGGCTTTGGCTTTGGACGATTTCTCGGAGACCCGGAAACCTCTCGGGGCTGGTCCTGGACTTGCATGCTGACCAGACAAAGCTGTACTCTTTCAAGGAAACCTTCAGTACCTTCGCTCAAGCGGTGGGACAGATTGGGCGCGACCTAGGTCAACCAAGGGTCTGAAGTCGTTCGGTCTGAAGCTGGTGTCCAGCCTGGGCCAACCTACCGCAAGATCTTGTACGCTGATGCTGCCGCGGAAGGATTGACAAACGCCTCTGGCTGTATCTGGGTACCTGGAGCACCTTGTTGGTATGCCAGCGTACACAAAGCGACTGACTGGACTGAAGCTGGTTGATCTTGCGGAGATCCGACCGCAGCCTTGGAGGTAGAGCTCGCAGGTGCTGGTGAGGACATTCCCCATGCCGCTTCGCCTCGAGCTCCAGAGGTGCACGGTGGCGCGCGGATATCATCCTGCAGCACTTCGCTGTTGCCGACATTTCATCGCCGAAGTCATGGTGGAAGGCCAAGGCTACGGCTACTACCCGGTCCTGGTGGAAAGGCACTGCCGATGCAGGTGTTCCCGATTCCAGTGTGGGTATTGGTGGGGGGGTTCGGCGGTTCGGCGTATCTTGGAGGAGTTCGGCTTTGAGGCCAGACATGCAACCGGCGCGCCGCGCTGGCACGTGGGGCCGGCGCTGGACCCGAATGCGTCTTTCTTGGACTATTGGCAACTTCTTCGACGCCCCTATGCTAGCCATGGCCTGGACGAGGTTTTGCTTCGAGGCCTTCTCCCGTCCTGCTGGGGCACTCTGGCTCAGAGGTTGGGGATTTTGATTCTTATCGCGCCAAGTTACAGGCATAGCACGGTTTCTGCGGCGGCTCAGGCCTTCCCCGGCCTCCGGGCCCATTGCGTGCTTCCTCCTCCAAAACACTGTCTCCCCGCCAGCTCGCGCCTTAGGTGCTGGCGGGTTTGACCTGCGTCCCTGAATGAGACGGTCTTCTTGCGGGTCAGTTTCTTTTCCTCAGCCGTCTCGACATCTAGGCTGATTGTGCAGCGCCACACTTTGAGAAGCTGCCGTGCGTACCTGGACGAGGTGCCGCTTCGCCTGATTCTAGTTCTCCTCATCCTCGACGTCCAGGTCAGGGCCAAGGATGCTTGCGTGGCTGCATTCAATCTTAACTTGCTGTTTTTGCAGCGGCGTCAGTATGCTGTGGAACAGGTCTGGCCGGCGACTGTTGTCAGAGCTCTTGCACGCGTTGATGCAACAACATGCGCGCCCGCAGCAGTTTCTGCTGCAGCGCCAACTTCAGTTTTGACTTTCGGCTCACTATCAGTATGTTTTTTGCGCCATCACGGACCCATGCCGCATTTTAGAAGCAACAGCTTCGGTTTCGACGTTCGGCGCACTTTCGTTTGTTTTTCGGACCGCCATAAATCCGGTGTTTATGGTTTAGGTTTAGGCTTTAGGGTTTAGGGCTTAGGGTACCCCGTGACTATAGTAACCAACCTTCTTTCTTTCTTGTAATCACCATTGCTTGCTTGCCTTACTCAGGCAATGCGTGGGCCTTCCGGCGCAGCGTTGAGAGCGCGAACACGTGCTCGTCGCATGCGTGCTGCAGCACGCATGCCGCCGCGGCCACGTCTGCGTGCTGCCACCCGTCCGGATCTGCTCGAGATCATGGCCGTTTACGTGGTAGCCATGTTCGTGCGCATGCACCGACCGTCTGTTGCAAGTACTCCCAGGTGCAACTTCGGGGAGTCTCTAGCCGACTTCAGAGCCGCCTCGGCAAGCTTTCCGCGCCACTGCGCATCTTCAAGCTCCCCGACACTTGGTGTCTGGCACCGCAGTCGCGACTCACATGTTCTCTGCAGCGTACAGACTTCAAGCATGATCTTTCGGACCTGCACTTGAGAGCTTGGAATCGCATGCGTACAAGCTTCGTTTGAAAGCATGAAATCTAACGCACCTTGCTCCCTCCTTCGAGCTGCCCGTGTGCTGCAGGCGGTTCATCTGGGCGGTTCTTTTTAGCATCCCTTGGCCACACTCCGCCTAGGCTTGTGCGAGTGTCTTGCCTAGCTCCTGACCTCCAGCAGTCCCGCGGGCTCTTCAACCTTGGAACCACGACGCTTGCACTGCTTCTGTCACATGCCCTAGCATATATTCCGGGACTTATGTCGATAACCACTCCCTCGCCGTTGCCCTGTCTTGCCCGAGGTACTGGATCTGCGCCTTACTGTGAGCCGAGGACTTCCTTCACTTCTGCTTGGCCTTCGATGCGCGATGGCCGCACGGCGACAGGCACCTCTTCGAGAGAGCCATCGTGCGCTGCTATACTGTTGCCTGGCATTGGAAACTGCCCTACACATACGTTTACGTTCGCAGTCACGTCGGGTTCCTGATTCCAGGTTTTGGGTTCAGGGTCTGCCACATGCAGTGCCAGGTTCGCGCTTGTCCGCTGCGTGGCTTTTGACCCCGCACATTCTGACTCTAACTTTGTAGCATGTTTTCAGATCTCCTTCCCCTGCCAAGGAATACCGCCCTCACTATGAAGCTGCATGGTATCGCTATCAGGGCCTTGGATACCACTGGGCGAGACAAGCAAGCGGCTTGTGCAAGCGACTGATTCTGTGCCCTGGCAAATTATGATCTACATGTACTAGCTCACGTTTCCTTCCTTTCCCTTCCCAGGTAGCCTTGGCTACTCCTGGCGCTGGGCACTTCGTGGCCAAGAACACGTTGGTAGCTCGGACCCATTTGGTGTCTGCACGTAATTCGCTACTCGTCCCGAGCTTCCATATTCTAAGCTACCAGGCCCTCCAGTGCTTGCCCCTTTTCCAAACCAACGACATGATGTTGACGTGCCCTCTTCTTTTGCAGCCTATGATGACCACACGGGCATTTTCCATGTGGGGAGCAACGTCAAGATGCTGGTGAAGACCCCGGACGTCCTCTGCCAAGCCAAGTTGCGCGAGAGGCTTGTGCTCCCCGCCCCCAACCCTATTTACTTTGATGCCTTGTTTGTGGTTGTACCTCCCCGGCGGCCTCAGGCTGCTGCCATTCCACTGCCCGCTGCGGACCTCGTAGTGCTTGGCTAGCTCTGGCTGCCCTCCCATTGGTTCTATACTCCCAGGCGCACATGCAGACTTGTGTTCAGCGACGCGCCCGAGCGCCAGCAGTCCACTTCAACTTCCAGGTGCCCGGTATTCAGCTAGCCTCTCCTGAACCTCCTGCTTCTTCACTCAGGCCCTGGACTGGACCACTGCTTCCCCCTTGCCCGCCCGAAATTAGTGCCACGGCGTTCGTGGTTGTTTTAAAGCTGCTGTTGCCCACTTCTCTGGCAGTTCATCCCTGGCTTGCGACTCCCCACGACGAGCGTTGTTGCCGTCCGGAAAAAGTGTTTGCGCCCGTTTGCACCCTGCTGCTAAGCTTTCGCCCCCCCGTCCCTGGGCGCAAGTTTTAGTGTCTGGGGTTTGGGGTGTTGGGGTTGGGGTAAGATGTTAGTCAATGTTAGTGTTACGGGTTCGATTACCAGAGTATCCACGTCCAAACCACAACGACGCTCGTGTTTTCATTGCAAAGTGTTTAGAGCATCCATGCCCAAACCAAACAGTCTGAAAACAAAAAGTGGGGAACGCCTGTTTTCTAGTCCTTTACAAGCTTCGGGACGTAGCCAGGGAAACGTCCAATGTGAGAAAATGCTGCGCTTGCCAGTGAAGAACGAGGCGCGGGTCACGTTGTTTTGGATCAAACCGCAAACCCTCAGCCGCCAAAAGCCTCGAAATCTTGATTTTTGGCACCCCAAGCACTGCTCCAGGGAGGCGGAGGAAAGCTTCGGCGAGTCTATGCTCATGGGTGCAGCTCCAAAGCACTGAGGAGGTTTGGAGAAATGCACGCCCCTAGGGATTCGTATAGAGATGATGGGAAATCAGGGAGCTTATGCCTCTGGATCTAGGGATGGCGGTCTGCACAAAATGGTACAGGCATATAGGGAGATGAAATAGTCGAGGTTGCGGAGGTTTAGCAGGTTCCCGTTCAAGCCGTTCAAGATCGAGATATGACATATATGAAAGCGTTGGACGCTTCTTTTTAATTAACATTCTTTCAAAGCCATGGTTTTTACAGACAATGGAGCACGCAGTAGTGTTCGACAAGAAAAGGCCCATGTTTTTGTACGTTGAGTATTACTGCCAGTACTGCTGCAGTCGCCCCTTTATGCCGCTGCTGCAGCCGGTGCTGCTCTTCCTCCCTGTTTCATGCTCTTCGTCTGCTGCGCCAACTCCCCATTGACCTGAGGCCTTCCTTGGTGTGGTGAACACCTTCTGCAAGTCTACCTCGCTGACTGGTCCACTAGACCAGCTGGTGCCTGGCATGCCTAGAGGTTTAGAGGTTGACAAAGGTTTTTTTGTCTTCCGCTTTTGATTAAAGGAGAAGCGTTGAAACACATCCTGCATACATCATAAGGCTCCTTAAGGCCACCCCACGAAAGGAACCCATTCCGAGCTTCCGGCGAGGCTTATGCTTTGTGATCTTGGGTTGTCTTCATCCCCAATCTGCCCAACATAAAGCCGGAACCCTTTAGGGCCAACGCCACAGTTGTGGATTGAATACTCAGAACTGTCCAGAGTTGCAAACAATAAAGCAGTAAGCCCGCTGCTGTGATGAGGGTCGTCCTCTGCCTTGTGAAGGGCAGCTGTGCAATCCACTTGGCATGTAAAATGTGCGACTCCAGTTAAAAGGCATGGAAGCCACCATCACTACACTCATTAGGCTAGGCCATATCACAAGCTGAAGGGCTAGCTTGCGGTTCATTTCTTTGACTGTCCTGACCCCTACTGTAGAACACAGAGTCGCCAGCTCAGTAGGTAGTCCTCATCCTCCTTCTCTGCTGCGACGCAGAGGTCTTGTGAAACAGCCCTTGTACATTAGACTTCTAACCGGGCACCTTCAGATTCCCCTTTGATCCCTGGCGCCCGCCCGCCCCCCTCTGAGAAGCCCGGATTTCTACAATCAAGCAAACAGCAAAGAGCGGAGAAAGGAACCCAGCCCTACTAGTGGGCAGCCAA